CATGGAACGCCATAACCAAGTGGCTGGCATAGTGTACAGAAACATCTGTGCAGAGTATGGGCTGGAAACCACAAGGTCTAAGTGGGAAACTCCTCCAAAGGTGGTGGAGAATGAGCGTGCAAAGATCCTGTGGGACTTCCAGATACAGACCGACCGAATGGTAATGGCGAACCAACCTGACATTGTGGTGGTAGACAAAGGGCAGAGGACAGCCGTGGTGGTGGACGTGGCAATTCCAAGCGATGGTAACATCCGTAAAAAATAACATGAAAAGCTTGAGAAATACCAAGGTCTCAGAGAGGAGCTGGAGAGGGCCTGGAGGGTAAAGGTGACAGTAGTGCCCGTGGTGATGGGTGCACTCGGGGCAGTGACCCCGAAGCTAGAAGAGTGGTTACAGCGGATCCCCGGAACAACCTCGGACATCTCGGTCCAGAAATGTGCAGTGCTAGGAACAGCAAAGATACTGCGCAGAACCCTCAAGCTCCCAGGCCTCTGGTAGAGGACCCGAGCTTAGAGAGGGATAACCGCCCGCGGAGGGCCAAAGGTGAGTGGACAATTTTTTTTATATGCGTATATATGTGTGTGTGTGCTTGTGTGTGTGTGTGTGTGTGTGTGTGTGTGTGTGTGTGTGTGTGTGTGTGTGTATCGTGCATGTGTGTGTGTGCGTGTGTGTGTGTGTCTATGAGTGGATTGGATGGACTGTCCCACAGGTTTTGGTTCTTGGCATCCATTTAGCTGTATTTGCAAAGATACCTCACTATCCCACTCTGGAATACTTCATCTTTCAGAAAGTGGCAAAGCATGGCAAAGCACGTGTCAAACATTTCTTTGATCTGAGTGATTCTCTACTGCACTTGAAATCAGCGGAGAAGAGTTCAAAGATACTCCTCCTAGAGCGTTTTCACAATAAATGAAAATCTTTTTAGTGATGCTTAAAAAATTGCTGTACAGTCTATGTGTACGACACGGCTTTACAAAAACACCACGTTGAAATCTGGGTCAGCGGTCTCCACAAAGATGAACTCCATGTATCTGGAAAATCTATCATTGAGCAAGATATGATTCCACCACTCCATATACTCACCACATAACCAAACCACTGTAAAGAAACATAAAATATTGTCCTTGATATGTTTAACCTGGTGTGCCAGTTCATACCCATCGCCATAAAACCAAGACTTTGTCAGACACCGCAAATTCTTCATAAAAAATGCAACATCCAGGGCAAAATGGGTTTGTCTGGAGAAGCGCGAATGGACACCTGTTGAGGATGTTATTGTCTCCATACAAAGACACATTACCATTTAAAAATAACAATAATACAATACAATACAATACAATGTATTCTTGTATAGCCCTAGGTCACAACAGAAGTCATCTCAGAGGACTTAACAAAACCATTGAAATCACCAACACAGATCAGAGAATCAACAGTTAAAACACATGAAGAATATAAAGCACACACAGAAGAAAATGTCCATACATGTTGTAGAATGCTAAAGTGTCCTGATCATCACCAATCCTTTCTGTTGGACACTAACTGTCCAACAAGACCCTCCTGCATCGGCAAGGAAAAACTCTTAAAAAACCCAGTGGGAAAAAGTGAGAAACCTTGGGGAGAACGAGGGAAACCCACAGGGAGGGAGACCCATTTGAGAAAGGGATCCGCTCCTCCGGACAGACAGGCTAATGATCCAGGACCTAAGCTAGCTACAGAACGTGGACCAGTGGCCGCTGAACGTGGACAGGTCCGGTGCAGGACTGAAGCACTCCCAGGCGGGTCGGGCGGGGTAGTCCGCAGGTGTAGATGGAGGAGGCCAGGCTCAGAGATCCCGTCATCGTACCATGAAACAGACAATGGGACAAGGGGTGAATAGCAATGAACAAACTACAGTCAAAATCCTAAAAATGCTAAACAGATAAAGTAGGAAGGAGGAGAGGATAGTGCTCAAGTTACCATACTTCTCCCAGCAAACTGACTCCCTATGCAGCTTGACTGACAGTCTGGGGAGTTCCCTGAGTCTTACCTTCCTAGCCATATGCTAAACTAAAGAGGACTGTTTTAAACCTAGCCTTGAATAAAGAGAGCGTATCTGAAAGGAGGCGAGACAGCAGCAGCCACGGCTAGGCTAGTCTAGCAATAATAATAATGCATCGGTTTTACACAGCGCTTTATTGGACACTCAAAAACGCTTTACATGTCGTTTTTCTTTCACTCCATACACGGTGGTGATAAACTACCACTGTAGCCAAAGCTGCCCTGGGGCACACTGACAGAAGCGAGGCAACCAGTATGTGCCATCGGCCCCTCCGACCACCACCAACCATTCACACACACCAGACTCATTCTGCAATGGGGGTGAAGTGTCTTGCCTAAGGACACAACAGCAGTTTGGCACTTTACAGCCGCAGCCGCCCCACTGTGGCATTAGGTGTTCCCAGAGGTTAAGTGTCTTGCCAAGGACACAACGACAACAGACATCAGTGGGAGTCGGTGGAGAAAGTCTTGTGGTGGGCTCAAACCCACGACCTTCAGGCTGAAAGGCAAATAATCTACCAACTGAGCCACTGTGAAGAAAATTAATTAATAATGATGAATAAAATTATAGAAGAAAAGAAGATACCACTGGAATAGCTGAAGAAGTTCAAGATGTGTGTCCTTACAGCTGAGCAGACCGAAGATCGAAGGTGTTTGGAGCAATCTAAAGGCCATCTCCTGAATTTAAACCAACGCCCGTCCAGAAGGTGGGTGACAAACAATGGGTTAACGACTTGAACACTTTCCACCTGCAGTTAAATGAGTGGATGTTAAAACTTTACAGTAGTTACTCACTTTCAATGCTTAAATCGGCATTAAATGTTTTGTAGCATGGTGAAATAACCTGTTTGCATTTTTACATATGATTTTATTTTAAAATTCTAATATCATAAAAATGTTGTTGCAATATGATCCACAATATATTGAATCATGTTATGTCCCGTGCATTATCACTGTAATGCTTATGGTATTGTCCTACAGCTTTTCCTCCCTGAAATCTTTATAATCTTGCAATAAAGTCTAGAAGAAGAAGGTACCTGGTCACCTGTTCACGGACACCATTGTAAAAATAACTGGTAGTGACTGAGAAAACAAAAAGCAATAAAAACACATAGTCGCAAAAGCAAATGTCAAAGCAAATCTTACCTGAGAGAATGTGAGGCTTTGGCCTGAGATTCTTGCCTCAATGATGTATTGACCCTTTCTGTGCAGCACAAGCCAGGTCGGGTTGTTCTGGACGTCATTTTATCTGTCTGAACGGAGCCACTGAAACTTTGATTCAGTGGTGTACAAGAAGATGGCTTCGACCAGGCAGAATATACCTAAAATTAAAACAGGGACACACTGCTGAATACTGTGAAAACTATTGTAAAATAGTAAGCTTGGAAGGTGCAGACAACTCCAGGGAAAATACGTGTTTGTTGAATCCAAGGTAGATGGTTTTTCAATAGTAACTGGAGGATTCTGAAAATCATTGTGGGCTGAATGGCACAATGGCAGCAGAGCTGCAGTGAAAGCACGCAGCTTCACCAAGGCCATTCTCAGTCCGCTGTCCTTCAGTTAGACAAAAGTCAGCAGCCTTCAGCTGTGAGCTGGCAGCTGATATTAAAATCAAATGTCTTGTCCAGACATGGCCCAGAGGTGAAAACATCTGACACTTTACCTGGATGGACAACCTGGAATAATAGAATAAATGTTATATTTTAAATCTATAATGAACCTGTCACATTTTGATCTAAATTTGGACAGCTTCAGGAAAAGTGTCAGATAAATAAAATTTCACGTTACGTGCTGCACAGAGGAAAAAAGTGATGCAAACAAAAATCATATAAAGCAACTAATAACAGCCATCCACAGAAAGTCAGTGGTGTCATTGTTCACCTGCAGAGTGTGTGTGTGTGTGTGTGTGTGTGTGTGTGTGTGTGTGTGTGTGTGTGTGTGTGTGTGGTTCAGAATACAGTATTATGATCCCACAGCGCATTTATTCTTCAGTTTAGTCAGTTTCTCAATCAAAAACATACGCCCACACACATGCACACGCAAACACATACACGCACGCACGAACCTACACACCCACACACACACACACACACACTTGCCTGCTCAGATAACTCACAGAACACTGTCACTGTACTGAGGCTGACATGACAGAACCATCTAAGAGTTTCTTCTATCTCCCCTTCATCTATTTGTGGACAGGTAAAGCCGAACATTTCTCTTCTTATATACACTCTCTTCACCCCCTTTGTATAGAGGCAAAAAGACAAAGTTTCTTTTGCTGTATCTGAGAATATTATTGCAGAAGTCCACAAGTTTACAAGTCATGCACTTGTACAAATCTATATATACACTGGTATATCAGAAAATACCGGTGTTGCAAAAGTCAGTGGGAGAATATATATTGTTGTGCATGATTCGACTAGTTAATACTTGCACTACAGTATTTTCTACTTGCTTCTTATAATGCTAAAATCAGGGTTTTTTTTACTTAAGTCTTGCTTCTTCCATATGCTAAAGTTGGAGATTTTCGACTTCTTTCCTTAATGTGATAAAGGTAGAGATTTATTTCTGCTTCTTTTTATTGTATTTAGATTTTATTTTAGTATAGACTCAGAGTAAACAGTACATATTATTCATATATCTTGTGTGCTCCTCATTCCAACTGTCTGTAACTTGTAAATGAAAGGATAAATTATAAAGGATCTCTTAATCTTAATCTTAAGTATTTTTTTAGATATTGACAAAAGATGACTATAATAACTGCATTTCTAACTCCAGTTTGTTTTGAGTATTATGTTGAACTATGGATTAAACATTTTGTAAGCATGTTCTGTAGCAGCAGCAACCTTTATCTATTTTTTTTATTATTTGTTATCATCAGGAAGTCCTCGAATCATGATGCAAAAATGTGTGCTAGTGTATCTTAGTTTTGTCATGTTCACGCACAGGGGCCAAAGGGACAATGCTGACCGCTTTGGCTCCTCCAGTGCATTTGTCCGGGGACAGGTTGGGCTGGACATTGCTAGTGTGCGTGGTCAGTGACCTTCAGAGAGGGCACATTGAAGTCGTGTGGAAGCCGTCTCGTCACTACATTCCTGAGTCATCATTCACCAGTGTTATAGTAAACGACAGACACCAAAGTCACAGTCCTGTATCCATCATCACCGTGGCCACCAATGACTGGCCTGGATTCCGCTGCTCAGCCAATCACAAGAGGCGTCCCAAAATTCCCAAGAGACGTCGCGTCAATCCCTCAAGTAAAACTAAATCTGTACTCGCTGTAAGCATTTTATATTTCAAGTACAAATCATTCAGGACAAATGTGTTTATTTTTAGGTAACGAAGAAACAAGATGCTTTGATGAGATGGAAATTGGTATGTTTAAAGTATTTTTCCACTATTTGAACCTACAAATAGAGTTACTGTGGAATTTTAGATTACGCAAACACTGTGGTGGTGCTGATGCTGAGGCTACTTCTGCTGAAGATTGTGGCCTTCAATGTGCTGCTGACCATCTACTCAGTTATCAAGTGGTAAACATGTTACAACAAACTTAATGAGTTTACAAAAACCCAACACTTTCACTCTTTTCAGAATTTGGCAGGCTGAAGAAGAGAAGTCAAGTTATCGCAGTGGTCCATTTCCAAAAGACGTTGTAGTGTTTTGGTGCTTGTGCAGAGGAAGTGCTCCTTCTCTTTCCCAGGTGTCACAGCCTGACAGTTAAAGCGACCACAGATGGAGACTGATTAAAGTGAACGCACAAGCAGATGTGTTTGTTTATGAGTAGTTTTAATAAGTGAAACAAAAAAATCTATAAAGATTATAAACACATGGTTACTTTATTTTCTTTTAATAAAACACTTGCACAATGTATTTTTGGTCTTTTTCACTTTTTTTGAGTGTAAAGTAACTGAGATAGTGACCGAGTACCACTAGGTGGAATTACAATCCCATTTGACATTGTTTAAATTAATAACCAATAAGAACCATACAGAACTTATCTTCTACAAACTACATTATAAATAAGTTTCCAACACTGACAATCACTCTTCACAAAACTTGCATTCAAACGTGATTTAAGAGCTCATTATGCTACAAAATAGTCAAATTAGCCAATTAAATTAAAACAAGGCTCCTCTGTCACAGATGCAGTAAAAAATAGTTCACATGTTTTTTTTTCTCAGTAGGAAGAAACTTCTACAGTAGCAATGTCAGAACATTCAGCGAGTTGGTATTCACTTCACACAATCTTTAATAACTGTTGCACCAACGCTGAGCAACGGAACAAGTAAAACTCACTCACACATCCAAAAAACAGAGCAAAACAGAACAATACTGATGACTTCTGTTTTTAACAATATCCAAAGTACATTCAAAGAAGAACTCACATTGACTGAACTGGGTAAAGCTGTTATAAAACACTGGAACCAAATGGTACTATTTTACAGGCTGATTTTTTTTGGTAAAAGACACAAACACTGATATGGATGGTAAAAAAATAATAATAAAGTGCTTCTGTTATAAGACCAATGTCCTCATTCTGAGGTATCAAAGAAAAATCACATTTTAGAACAAAAACTGCAACTTAAAAACAAATTCAACTATATACAGTTCTGCTGCAGTACAATGTCTGTCATTGACAAAAAAAACCTCTTGTCTTTGCTTTGTTTTTGTTGGTTTGTTCGTTTGCTTGTTTTTTTCCAGAACGGTCCAAACTTGTGGAGTGGGACATAAGCAGTATCATGCAATCCATTCAGAAAGTATTTAATACCCTTCACTTGGTGTGTATACAAATGTATTCCATTCTATATTTTTGTCATACATCTACTTGCAATAGCTCATAATGAAGTGAAAAAGATTTTTTTTTAGGAAACTTAAAATCCTACAAATGCATTTACAGCGTCAAGTCTGTTTGAGGCGACAGTAGCTCAGTTGGTAGAGCATTGGCCTTAAGGCCAGAAGGTCGTGGGTTCAATTCCCACCTCTGCACCTTCTCCATCGACTCCCACTGATGACTGCTGTCGTTGTGTCCTTGGGCCAGACACTTAACCCCACTTTGCCCAAAGCCCCCACTGAAAGATCAAGGCTATGCTCACACTCAGAGAGCAGCCGTCCTCCTGTGGACTCACCACCTGCAGAGGGTCAGTGAGGGGCTGGTGTTATGAGACTTGGGACCCAGAAATGGATTAAAGGGTAGAAAATGGATGGATGGAAGTCTGTTTGGGTAGTTGGGCACATACTATTTCAGGATATTCAAAGTTCTGTCAAGTTAGGTTTCCTCCAAAGGTGACATTCAGGCCAAATAGTTCAATTTCATTTCATTTTCTGAGGGTCATTTGCCTTTGGCAGACAGCGTGCAGGCTGTTATGTGCCTTTTAGACAGGATAGTCTCCCATCGGGCCACTCTTCCATAAAGGTCTGATTGGTGGAATACTGTACTGATGGTTTTTCAGAATAATCCTGAATCAGGTCAGAGTGACCATTGGGAAGGTCTTCAGACAGTTTTGTAGACCTCGTAGCCTGGTTTCGGCTCTGACAGTTGCTGTCAGCTGTGGGACCTTAAATAGACATGGAAGTTCCTTTTCAAATCAAGTTAAACAATTATAATTTACCACAGTCAAGTTGTAGAAACATCTCAACAACGATGTTCTTCTGTTCATTCGATTTACGTTTCTGACATCCCAAATTATACTCAAATTAAAAAGATACACCCCAGTGCAGTTTTTCTCATAGACCTAAAAGAGTTTTTCTTAGTGATGGATTATGAAGCCCCATAACGGTAAAAGCCTTTAACACGCCGAGGCTTTCTTTGCCAGACTGTTTTGAAGTGTCGAAACCTCTGAGCTAGCTTAGACTAGCTTGTAACACTGACATCTAGTGGACAAATTTATCATTGCAGCTTCCGAATATCAGTAGTTGATTTATGTTTCAATTGTGTTTTCAAATTCATACCATTTTCTTCTCACATAACTATGACAAGAAAGCATCCTACTGCTGCAACATACGTATATTGCTGTTTTAAGGAGCTCGATAGCCTCTATCCACAGACAGCTGTCAAACTAAAAAGCCCGTCGAACAGCTCAGGACCAATGTGAAGCTGGGAAAGTCATTGAGCCAATGAAGCGCTTTGAAATACTGACACAGTTTATACGCAAAGTGAAGCAGTCGCGGCAGTGTCCGAGAAAGCAAACCCTAAAAATTAATGATGCAAACCAAATAAATAAATTCCTAGACCTTTCACCCCCAACCAATTTGTAAGTCGGAAATATTTAATTTTTTATAAAGGAGGTAATTTCATTGCTTGTTTTAGCAATGGAAATATAAAAAAGGCCTAGAGTTTTGTTTTTTGATGTGCATGTCAGAAACAAAAAAGGAATGAACGCAAGGTACACAGACCCCATGTGCTTGTGACATTTCTTTTTTTTTTTCTTTTATATAAATTGGTAGCAAAAAAATCCCCCATTACTTGTTTTATTTGATGATTATATCAACTAGCAGTTGGCCAAGGAAAAAAAGTTTTTAAGCCATTTTGGAATACGGGTCTAACATTACAAAATTTAGAAAAGAGTGAAGGGGAAGAATACTTAATGAGTGAACTGCAGCATGATCCTACAACACACCAAGAAGTGGATTCAGTGCTCGGTTTTAATTCTCATAAAAAAGAAAGAAAGAGAAAAAATGTTCTTTCAAGTGCAAACACTCCCCAGTCAACTTCTATGTTTTAGACCAGAGATCTGCTGAGTGCACACAGTACAAGGAGACAGAGGGACAGAGTTTTATGTGAATATGGGGGTAATGAGGCTGCTCCTGTGGGATAGATCCTCCATCTGTCCCTGTGTGGGTGAAGGCTCTCCATGTCCTTCTGTGCATTGTACGCAGCCATAGTGAAGTTAGCGTCCCCCGTGGTCAGGAGGTCAAACACACATGAGTGGAAGTAAATATCATGTATCTCCAGCTGTTCTTTGCAGTGCTCCTTTGCTCTGTCCACACTGAAGAACTCTGAGCCGCCATAAGGAGAGGCTTGTGTCAATGAAGAATAACCAGGTCTGTGCCGCTGCAGGCCCAGTGCAGGGGGGAACAGGGGGAGATGCCCCCCCTGGTCAATGCGCTCACTGTTAGGACAGCCATTAAGACAGAGCTGAAGGTCTTGGGAAGCATCATAAGCTTGGGCCAATTCCTCTGGGATACGTATTGCTAAAGTCAGATAACGGCCCGTTTGGCGAACAATCACTGTCACTCCGATATATCCTGCATGCAGCTCCACGTGGCGACCCGGGCTGCGATCCGAGATCCAGAGCGCCCGCACTTTCCGCTGACCTTCTTCTGCTGCAGCAGAAGAGGTGTGGAGAGCATCGCCGCTGCTTATTGTGCCATCGTCAAAAGCAGCAGGAAGGTTGTCTGTGACTGCCTGGTACACCCTCTGGTCTGTGCAGCCTTCGAAGGGCTTGAAGATGATGGTGATCTACACAAACAAAAACAGTGATATTGTTGTTTAATTGATGTATAATACGATAATAAAAATGTGCTTACAAATTAACATTTGTTTTATTTGTATGTAGGTCTCCTTACACATTAAATGGGAGTAATGGCTGAACGACCTTTTGACAAGGTGTAATTTGACACAGGTACGCAAACACGAAGTGTGATCTTGCAATAACAGGGCTGGTCCGGGGTGTGGTGTGAGCATTACGGTTAGCGCTCGCATCATGGTTCCGGTGAATGGCTGCTTTGTTCACATGACAGCCGTGAGGAATGAGGCCTGGCAGCCCATTAAGCCTTGAGGGCTGTTAATGTGTGTGAGTGTGTGTCTCTAATAATAGTGACTAATAACGCGCCCCACCTATGACACAAGGTCAGATCTAACTCTACTCTGAAGGCAACAGTCCATTTGCTTAATGTGTGTTTGTATGGCAAGCTAGGTATGGGGCTTTTAATAATTCAAACTGATCAACAAGAGTAGTTTCTTTAATACCATAAGACCATCTCGTGTGGGTCATCATGTCCACTGATTTAGGGTGAAAGTGTCTTCATGGGATAGAGCATAATGCACAGGACTCTAGTAACTGTTAACTGCTATGGGGCAATAAGAGGCACTTCCAAACACACACAAGTGAACAGTGAGCCCTTTCACACATCTCATTCATGTTATTAGAGGTCAGGCTTAATGCAACCATTAACCATGTTAGCTTTCCAATACGGCTACAGTCACAAGAGATAGTCACAAGATGCACTCTTTGCTTCACACCTGCAAATCTGAGCAGTTCAGACAAGAAACTGTAACACAGAATATAGAACAGCCTCCTTTTTTCAGCATAAATCTCTTCTGTATATTAAAGAACAATGTGATTTGTGTCTATGAAAAGTACACTATATAAGTACTCAATAGTTTTACTGAACGATTTTAGTCTTTATGGAAAGAACATTTAATCTTTAATATGAGTTCAATTCAAATAGACCCAAAAAGCCATTTTCTCTTCATGGATAAGAACAGTGGACAACTCACCTTGTTTGTTGCCGTGGCACTGGAGCCAGTAACCACCGGTACATTTGTGACCTGGACTGACAGGTAGTCATTGTCGATAAGAGGCCACGCCCCTTCCACTTTGCATGTCTGGAAACTGTCTTTAAAAGTCCTGAGGTGAGGGTCTCCAAACAGCCCACAGAAGAGGTAGACTGGCTGAAAGTGACCATGGGAGTGTGTATGCATGTGTGCGTGCATGTGTGCGTGCATGTGTGCGTGCGTGTGTGCGTGCTGACTGCGACTATGGTAGTTGCAGGGTTCATGATGCGTCTCGGGAAACGTGGATGAAGTGGGTCCATCTTTGGAGCAGTTCCTCTGGCTCATGAGGTCTGAAATTCCCAGCACAGCAGAGTGGTAGACTAGGTTTCCACGGCAGGATTTAGCTGTCTTCTGTGTGCAGGCCGAGTACGCTCGCAGCGCCTTGCAAAACTCAACGTGAAAACCATCCACCGCTGGGGTGAGGTGGGAGGTCAAGGAGACGAACTCTGTAGTACACTTCTGGATACGACACTGAGGCGTAGCCACTTGGCATTGTCCTGCAGACAAAACAAAAGGTATAAGTTTAGCAAAGCCAACCAGTAAGCATAGGAAAAGAATAAACCAGATTGATTATGACTAGACTATGGGTAGTGAGAATTATTTGGAAAAACGACACCTAAGTAAGTCTACATGCACTTGCTCTTAACAAAAATTGTTTATGTATTATAAACCAAAGAGCGGCCACATAAGAGAGATAAAAAACACTATCTTTAGTGACAGTAATAAAAGTATAAAAAGTTTATATAGCCAAGGAGTAGACAATAGTGCTCTACATTTTCTGGCACACAAGTGCAATAAAAACATTTACTGATAAGTACAACACTATGACACTATTGTTGGAGACATAAGCGCCATAGAATAAACAGGTTTTACTAATTTATGTAACTGCTTTGAAAAGATGGATCACTGTGCCCTCAGACCCATTACTTTTGTGAATGTAAGGTCAGAGCAGCCTTTTATATCACAGATCAGAGACCGTGTTAGAGCACAAGAAAGATTACAGGCTCGACCTAATGCATCAGTCACAGCGTGCTCCTATTAGATTAGGTCTGAGAGCCGCTCTACAGCGTACGACACTAACACACAAACAAAATACAGACAGAGTACAAAGATGACTGGTTCTTATGGAAGAAATAAGAACCAGCCATCTTTGCATTTGATACAACGCACCTCTTATTGAGTCACAAAGTTCAAGAATTTCCTCTTCACAAGTAGAGCTTAGAAATGCATACTACATTTGTTCACCATTTACTTAAACATTATTTGATGTCAATAGGTGGACCTGTCTCTAAATCTTTGATCTAATTATTGGGATATCGTTTTACAATTGGTTTTGTCTAACACATGCAAATAGCACAGTCACAGGAAGACATCACAGCAGGAGGAAGAGGAGTTGTGTGATGTGCAAAAAGGCATGTGAACATTCATATGTGTTGGTAAACTACTACTGTCGCCACCGCTGCACAGATGCATAAAAAAATAGAAGAAGCAGTTATTCAAACATCACGTTCCCCGTTCACTCCCAGGCCAAACCATGACTGAATGAGTGGGAACTATGTGGGCATGCCAAGACTACAGAATTCCCATACAGTAGAATATAATGACCATTTGTAACATTTATCTCCTGACATTCATCTTGTCTCATGTTTGAGGTCTAACCAACCATTTGGGGGCACTGGTGTTCCAGTTTTCTACATAGGGGCACCAGCAATCCCCCTTCACACAACATTTCAGAATATCACTTGTGTTTGTTACACAGACACGCAGGATCTGCTAAGCCACAGTCACTCTGGGAGACACTGTCTATTGAATCACAGGCCTCTACAGCTGTGTTCACTGGTCACAATTTAATCAGACAGTTTAAAGTTTTATGTTCAGTAGCAGAATCACAAGATGCTCCATAAACACACAAATGCATCCATTCAGACCAAACTTTCTCTATTGAGGACATTCTTCATTGAATCAAACGAACAAAGAGATCTGTGCATGACAAGTGTTTTAATAAATCCACGTCATAACAAAAATGTGCTTTCATTTTTTCACAAAATATTTCCATACTATGTCTTTAACAAGTGAATTGATTAATTGCAAGTCATTAATAATTGAAATATTTGTCATCATTTTATTTAATAATTGAATAATTAACTTTGAACAAACACAAAGGAATGCTTGGATAAGGTTTTACACCTCTGATAGCGCTCTTAATACTGCAGAATGACATGGAATTATGTTACATCTTAGAGATATCGTCTACTATATAGGGACATCAAATTGAAAACGCAACTTTACTGTAGCCAATTAGCAAATTCCTTTTACTTAGAATGAATCGTTTAGTTTAAAAACAGCATATTATTTCTATCTGGCTGTCAGTGTGTTTAGCCAAAACAGGCTTAGAAATTCAAGGATCACTGCAAATGTCAAATGAGTGGACTTTGACTCATTTAAAACATTTTGCAGGTTTCAGTTTCACACATTATCCTCGCTTCACATAAGACATCATAAATTAAATTACAATAACAATATCTGAAAAATAGAATTTAGATATTTATTTAAAATTGTGCATATTCAATTCAATATTCACAGGGCTTTGTGATCTAAACAACTAATCCATTAATCAAGAAGAGACTCGCTTTACTTATCAACCGTCAAAGGAATCATTCATTACGCTCTTCACTATAATTTCATTTTCAAACCATCAAGCTATTAGTATTACACAGAGAATAATGTATTTTTTCAAACTTGACTTACAAATGTGAACCGTAATTATTGCTTTGTATCCTATCTGTATGTATCCCTTGAGTACAAAGCTAATACAGACTACAGAAGATTCAATAACATCCCTCTATAGATTGCTTTTTCTTTTACCTCAAAACTACTCCACAATACCTCTCTATTATTTCTCCTCATTTCTTCTTCTCACAATCCTTATACAGCATATATGCCTTACACCTTAAGCCTCACGCCGGTGGACCCTGGGCTACTGTCCCCTCAAGCTATCTCGCTCATATTCCCTACACAGTGCAGTCCTGAGGCGCTATCTTTATGATGAAGACACAAAGGTCAAAAGTACCTGCAGCGTTCCCCCTTTGCACCCTCCATTCCTTTGTCTGAGCACTGAAGTTCTCTCATCTCCAGAGATCTGAGGAGACCTAGTGGGATAAACTCTCCAATGATGGCCTGGCTTGTGAAAGTGCTTATTGATCACCTTGTGTTGTTGCACTCACACTCACATATTAGGCAAAAAAACCCTAACCCTCCAAGATACAAAAGACCAAGAGGAGCTGCAACAATATATCTACATCTTCAACAACAAACCCATCTTTCATCACTTTCGTCATATAATCTAGGTAATATACAGTCTATGGGTAAGACTAACAAATATGTGCCAAACAATGAAATAGAGGCCAATCTTTCCAGGTGAGGCACTAAAGTGAATGTGCTAAACGTATGCACAACATTAATCTTTCTATTCAGTTCCTGGATGGTCTTAAACCAATAAATGACTTATGTGACAGCCAAAAAAGACAGTAGCCATGCTCAGACCAATGCAACCAATGAATTGAGAAGCTAATTCTGTTCAAAACACAAAGAGGTTTTTCATCTGCTTGACTATGAAAGGCAAATTAAAAACCCAATCAGGACTACAATAATAGTGTAATAAGAATTTAATATTTTTATGTAATACTACACATTCTTAACACAATGAATATCATAAAGAGTATTAATTAACTTGGAAACTTTGTATATGTACACCAAGCCCTTATCTCCTGAAAGTGGAAGTGGCATGTCAGAGATTTTGGTTAGAGTGACCCGGGAAGATGAGCTCTCTCTCCTTCAGCATGCAGACAGGAGAATGACGGCCCAGGAGAGAAGGGGAAACTCGATCTGTGCTTAGACTGCTGCACTGCCGCTGGTGAGTGAGCCATTATTAGGCCCAACAACACACTGTTTAGCAGCCTATATTACGGGTTATTAACTTGTAAGTGTCCGGTCGTTTCTTACGAAACAATCTCAAACATATCTCGTGTATAGAGCCAATAGGTGTGTTTACAAAACACACCAGGAAAGTGCAGAACATATATATCTTATTACATAAAAGTTAGTTACCAATATGCGGTGCAACACAGACGAGAGCGGTGACCACCACCAGCAATGGCCGGAACCAGCGCACTGAAGACGGGGACGCGAGGCGCTCAGCCCCGCGGTAACAGCATCCGGCTCTCCCCATCCCTGTCCATGCAGGGCCAGGAGGGGAGAGTGCAGAGCTCCAAAGGCGAGGACGGGTGTAGTCCTGGCCTCCTCACACCTTCCTCTTCCTCAGTGTCTTCTGCCTCACTTTGCGCTCCTTCTCCTGCTCCTCGCAGGAGCATGAAAACACAGCTGCTGCGGAGAAATGAAGGCGGAGCGGGAAACAACACGCACAAAGTAAAGTCAATCCCGCAACACTTGCTCTGTGTTCTCCACGCCCCGTGTGGGGCTGTGCTGGACTTTGGCTGCTTTCAGAGCACTTCTCGCAGACTTGTGAGCTCGTCCCGACACGCACTATCACATCTCTCTCGCTCGCCTCACCAGGCCGGGGTTTCTCCTCTACTCCTCCCCTTTCACTTTCTCCTCCTTCTCTTCTGTCCCTCCAGCAAATCAATACAGAATCAACCAAACCCTGCAAGCGGAAAACCCGCCCCCACCCGCCTCCACCCGCCGTACAAACTGAAACAAATACTTGACTGAAGGTGAAAGTTGTGACTCAGTGCTTCTCAGCAGAGCGCACTCTATTTCACATCGGCTTTCACTTTAGGGAATGACAGCAACATTGCCTGGTATTAGGGACAGTGTGTAATTATTCATCAATTTATGTTAAGGAAGCAACAACAAACCAAAAAATATTTCTTCTCCATGTGATTTTGTCAACTACATAGTGTGGAAAAATAGATATTTTCTTGTCCGCGTCAGAACGCAAGCTTCAGTTCTGAACGAGCTCAAGACGCTGGACTGATTAAAGTTGTAATAACTTAATTTTCTTATACGTGACAAATGCGTGTACATTATTTCAGAATATTGTGTAGATACAAATTCACGGTTTTCACACTGCAGACCCTTATTTTTGGACCGAGTTTGAACGCGAGTTTTTTATACCCGTGTTAAAAGACGGGGAGAGGCGTCATCAATGTTATGATTATTTCACTCCATACACTACCACTGTAGTCACAGCTGCCCTGGGGCAGACTAAATCAAGGCAACAAGTATGTGCCGACCTCCACCAATCATTTGAGCACATAACAGACTCATGCTAGACAAAGTGGGTTGACTGTCTTAAAATGTACTCAAAGGCAGTTAAAGGTTCCGTATTACGCTTTTTGACTTTTCTATTGTTCCAGAACTATACGGTCACCATGAAACTGGACTTACTCAAAATCTGATCTGGAAACCTGTGTTATTCCCTTGATTAAAGCTAACAAGGAGCATTGATTTGTAAGTACAATGCAACTAACTCGCCGTATACAACTGTTTACTAAATAATTATGGTCTGATTCTGGATCGAGGAGATAGGTCTATGTGAGGGATTGCCATTGTTGGAAAAAGTTTATTCTTAGGTCTGAAATGACTATGCTGTTACTACTACTGTATTGCTGAAAGCTGAACAGTTATCTTAAACAGGTAAACAAGTTAGCATGAGGCTACGTAACCACACGAGTGGGGAAAAGTCGGGCTCACATCACTAGGGAAGGAGCACAGAATGACCAGTTTCAATTATGGTGACATCACCTCTGCAGAAATGGCTATAACACCGTGGCCGCTGGCACCTGGTGCTCCCAGAGGTCTCACATCATAGTACTAACCAGGCGCTGTCCTGCTGAGCTTCCAAGGTCTGATGGGACAATTTTAACAAGCACACACTTATAATGGAAACATTTCAGCGCTCGGTTGGTACTAGGAACTAACGTATGTGTATGTGTGGGTACGGTGGGGTCGATGAGAATACAGACTGTTTGCATCCTGTCGTGGACATGTTCATGTAGTGCATTTTCTTCTCACTTTTTTGTCTCTCAAGATTCACTTGGATGGATTATTTAAGGCCTTCAAATTTAAAGATAAGGATGCTGTGTTGCAGCTGTTCCATCAGGGGTGACATAAGGGTAGACAAGAGAACGTTGTGAGTTAAAGAGTACGGAAACTGGATCTTCAGGTGAGTGATCTCAGAAAGACAGGTCCTTGCAATATTACTGTATCTAAAATCTAAGCCTATATGACTTTGCACTTGACCAAGGAGACGCTCTTTGGTCAATGCTGTTGCACTTGAGTGCGCAATTTATTTAGACACATATATATATATATTGTTCCAAACACCTCATTCAGACCGGATCATGCGTTGCGTCGGCTTTAGATGCTAAGTCAATGGTGACGCGCGTTCGAGCGTCAAAATGCATGTGCGTCTCAGAATGCACGCACGGACTGCTCGGCAGAGACGCACGGACTGCTCGGTGAAGTCGCGAAGGAGGTGCAGGAGCGGAAAATCGACGCACGCAGGAGATACATTTTGCTGAGCGTTTCCTCGGACGCTCGTGCAGCGACCAATCAGAGAGCCGCAAAGTGGTCACGGGGACATTAGCGGTCTGAATGAGCAGACTGAACATACTGTAAACAGCCAAAACAGGAGCTACACCAGGACTAAACCAGGGTTGACAATGGGGGACTCGGTGCTTGTGAACATATGCGTTTTCATGCTACCGTGACCTTATGCAACTGCTTCCAGCCAAAGTACCGTTTAATAATAAAATAAACGTATGGCGCACCTCGGTGAACACATACTGCTGTTATATAAAGTCTGTGGAAGGTCTCTGAACACAGAGCTGCATTATTGGAGAAGAACTTTACACAAAAAGCCGCTAGCTTAACTCTGTTAGCATCAAAGCCCGCCGGCTACTTCCGCCACTTCCGGCGCACGCCACCGCTGGCCAGGACTTCTGGTCTGAAGACCCCTGCGTCTGAAAACTAGAGAATGTGCGTCTGGTGAGCGAGGCTTCAGCGTTCCAGCGTCGGCAGTGTGAAAGCAGCATTAGAGGCAACTCTCATTTATGATGTAACAAAGGAAAATGAAGAACAGCGAGGAAAAATGGAACCATTAAAAGAACAGCTGTAGTAGATGAGAGGCAAACAAACACGACAAATGAATCTATAATGTGGAGGCAGTTGTTGAACCATTCTCAAACTGTGCCTGAGATCATTTATGTTAAAGATTGGTTACTGGTCTCCTGTGAATAATGTCTAGCGCACTTATTACATCTTATTAAAAATGTATTTTTCTACTTGGTTTTATTTTGACTTCAGTTCTGTGTTTTTTGTTTTTTTTTTGACTTCCTGTTCCCCTGTGTTGATTGTCTGCCCCGCCCTGATGGGCTTCACCGGTGTCTCTCTGTGTCTATACTCACCCTGTGCTCCTTTCCCCTTGTTGCTGGTCCACTGTCTTCATCTGTATCTGTTCCTGGGTTCTTTTTGGATTATTGAGTTTGTTTTACCCATGATTTTAATTTTGTATCATTAAATCATTGTTTTTCGGCATTCATGCATTTGGGGTCCTCCCCTTGTTTCACCACACGACAACACCCTTCCCAAGTCATTCTGCTCTTGGCTCTTATCCTCTGCAGGGTCGTTCTGAATTACTCATACTGGGGTGATTGAAGGTGAATAATTAGACATTTACCCTGTGTAGTATATTTAGCATATGTGTGTGTATGTGTGTGTGTGTGTACAACAATGATTTGCTCCACAATTCAGCAAACTGATTTATGTACACCTGCAGAACGGTGCACTTTAATATACTTTACACATGCAGTTAAGCACCTGGTTCAATATATCCCACAAGTATTTAGCTTCACGTTGGTGCCAGCAGTAAGTTATGGCCCCAGAGCACTGACAGTCAAGTAAACTTCAATAGAGTGGAAAAGAAAATGTATATGTCCCCTTGTGTGTGTGTGTGCGTGCGCTCATATGCTGTGGTCTATGCTCAGGGCACAGGTGCAGAAGCGCTCTCACAGCTGCAGTTCTGAGCTCCATTCACTGCTGGCCCTGTTCTACACTCTGTCACGTCTCTAGAGTTAACTTAAGCCTTTTTATGCTAATTCCTCCCTGTGGCTGCACTCTTCCCTCTACCCTCACCCAAGCCCCGTTCATCCTGTCACCTCAAAAATGCTGCTGCCCCAAATCTGTTTCTTTCTTTTTTTTAAAAGTAGCAATCCATGGGCTATTAGTTCCACTAGTCTTTGCATTTCTTTGACCTTCTTTCCTTTGAATATGTATTGCAACTATTCCTCTAATCCCATGCATGTGTGCGCATGTGTGCATATGTTTTTTTGCATTCAAAGTTGAATTTCTAATGAAATATTTGTGACAATGACTAACCCCATTGCCAACCCAAACTTATCAAAGGGCCCTAAATAACAATTGCTGATGAGCCACATGGGCCACGCTATTGATAAATTGGTCCGTGCTGATAACAGATAATACTTAACGCCATTGTTTTGTGAGAAATGTCATGTCTAACAGATGTCCAAGTGTGTTGCAATACGTGTCATATTTTGTAGGGGCTCTGCAGTGGCTTTGGGGCCATAAGAAACTGCTTAGTCTGTTTCACAGACAAAAGTACAAAAACTATAAGGAAAGCAACAATATAATGTATTAGACTTGGATCATGTTTTTGAAGTCAATACGTTTTGATTGCCATTCAGTCACACAAAAAAGTATGGCTAGAAGTATTTAGGACACACACAAAAATTGATTTTTAATATTTTCTATTACTTACTATTATAAATGTCAAGACTGTGATCCAAAATAGAGCTCAAAACCCATATTCAGGAGAAGTGTGGTTTTCATCCTTGCTATGGAACACATTAACCAAATCTACTCTCCATTAGCTCCTCGAGGAACCATGAGTTTACAGATTTGAAGAAGACTTTCGACCATTTTCCCCAAGGTGTTCTCTGGGTGTTTCTTTGGGGGTCCTCTAGGTCCGGTGTAGAGCCGCTGCTCCAAGATTGCGAGGGTGCCCACCCAAGAGAAAGCCCAGTACAGCTGGCTTGAGAACGCCTTGGGCCCAAGGTAAAGTGGAAGATATGGATATAGGCCTATAGGTCTTACTGTATGTTGTTCAGTCTCATCAAAACAACATGCCATTGTGACTATGGTAAAGTAAAGCAACAAAGATGAAAAAACATATGTTTACTCAATATTCAAATAAGCTATCTCTACCCAAACTAGATGGTAGTTGTAGAAATAGCATGTCAAGAGTTATGACACATAAAACAGTCACTATGGTATGTGCATGTGTTGTGTGACCTGCTAAATGAAATATGTCCCTCTTTGTGTTTCCATGAGTCTGTCTGCTGTTGGGCCAACACAGTGTTTTATGAGACTCAAGTATTTACCCTCACATCAGTGCCAGTGGTGACTTATGGCCCCACAGCACTGACAGTAAAGCAACCTTCAATAGAATGGTAAAGATCTGTGTGTCTGCAGGAGATGTGCTGCTCATATTAGATTATGGAGACTTCCTGTTTTTTCCAGAAACCATAGCATTTAAAGTGTTATATGTAATATCCGACAAATTCTACTACAATCTATCTACCAATGGAGTCCAATTTTTTTGAAGTCATTCAGTTCTATTTCAATTGTAATTAACACTGGGTTAGAAGCACTCTCCTCTGTCAAGCCAAGAAAAGTTACTGTGTTAAGGG